TTAGATTCCACATATGACACTTGTCTTACTCTCCAGGCCCCTCCATGCTGTCTCAAAGGGTAAGAGATCCTTCTTTTCTATTGCTGCATAGTATTCCATGATGTAGATGCACCACAGCTTTTTTTACCCACTCATGTACTAATGGACACTGGGGCTGTTTCTAGATCTTAGCTATTGTAAATTGAGCTGCTATGAACATATGGGTGCATACATTCTTTCTGACTGGTGTTTTGGGATTCTTAGGATATATTCCTAGAAGTGGGATCACTAGGTCAAATGGCAGTTCGTTGTTTTTTTTTGTTGTTTTTTTTTGAGGAAACTCCATACTGTTTTCCATAGTGGCTGTACCTGTCTGCATTCCCACTAGCAGTGTACTAGGGTTCCCTTTTCTCCACATCCTCTCCAGACATCCTCGCCAGCACTTGTCATTTGTTGATTTGTTAATAGTAGCCATTCTGACAGATATGAGGTGATACCTCATTGTTGTTTTAATTTGCATACTCTGTGATGATCAGTAACTTTGAGCATTTTTTTTTATATGTGTCTTGGCCATCTGTATGATGACTTTGGAGAAGTGTCTATTTAGGTCCTTTGCCCATTTATTTTTATTGGATTGTTTGTCCTTTTGTTAGTTTGTATGAGTTCCTTATATATTTTGGAAATTAACGCCTTATCAGATGTATCATTGGCAAATATGTTCTCCTCTACAGTGAGCTCCCTTTTCATATTTTTAAAAATATTTTTATTGATTTCAGAGAGGAAGAGAGAGAGAGAGAGAGAGAGAGAGAGAGAGAGAGAAACATCGATGAGAGAGAATCATTGATCGGTTGCCTCCTGCAAGCCCCACACTGGGGACCAAGCCCGCAACCCGGACATGTGCCCTTGACCGGAATCGAACCCGGGACCCTTTAGTCTGCAGGCTGACGCTCTATCCATTGAGCCAAACTGGCTAGAGCCTCCCTTTTCATTTTGTTGTTGGTTTCTTTTGCTGTGCAGAAGCTTTTTATTTTGATGTAGTCCCATTTTCTCCTTAGTTTCTTTTGCCCTAGGAGATGTATTGGCGAACATATTGCTATGAGAGATGTCTGAGATTTTGCTGCCTGTGGTTTCTTCTAGGATTTTTATGGCTTCATGACTTACAGTTTAGTCTTTTATCCATTTTGAGTTAATTCTTGTGTATGGTGTAAGTTGGTGGCCTAGTTTCATTTTCTTTTGCATGTACCTGTCCAATTTTCCCAACACCATTTATTGAAGAGACTGTCTTTACTCCATTGTATGCTCTTGCTTCCTTTGTCAAATATTAATTGAGCATAATGGCTTGGGTTGATTTCTGAGTTCTCTGTTCTGTTTCATTGATCTATATGCCTGTTCTTGTGCCAGTAGTAGGCTGTTTTGATTACAGTGGCTTAGTAGTATAACTTGATATCTGCTATTGTGATCTCTCCTTGGTTTTCTTTCTCAAGATTGCTGCAACTACTTGGGGTCTTTTTTGGTTCCATATACATTTTTGTAGATTTTGTTCTAGATCTGTAAATGGCCAGTGCACGTCACGGCAGCTCCTGCGTTGAGTGTCTGCTCCCTTGTGGTCAGTGCGTGTCATAGCTACCAGTCAGATGGACACTTAGCATATTAGCCTTTTATATATATTGAAGATAGAAGATAGATAGGATTATACATACTCCACATCCTTTCCAGCACTTGTCGTTGGGTGAATTGTTGATGGCAGCCATTCTGACAGGTATAAGGTGATGCCTATATTTGAAAGAGAAATAATTTACTTAAGGCTTTTAGCAACATTTTAACAAACTGAAACTTTTCAGTTAGAGCATATTATAGTTAGGCAGATGTCGAATTTGCCAAATGTTTTAAAGATTTAAATTACAAGTTAGGTAATAGAGTTTTTCAAAAGAAACTTTTAAATTGATTTTTTTTAATCCTTTTTTTTTTAAGAATATGTTTTTATTAATTTGAGAGAGAGAGAGAGAGGGAGAGAAAGAGAGAAAGGGATATCAATTGGTTATATCCTTTACGTACCCCGACCAGCGATGGAACTGCAAACTAGGTATGTGCTCTGATCAGGAATAGAACCCTCAACCTTTTCGGTGTATGGGACGATGCTCCAAATGAGCCACTGGCCAGGGCTAAATTGATTCCTTACTGTAAATGAATATCATTTAATAGTATAACTTCTAATTTTAGCTTCCTTCACAACATTTTTCCTTATCCCTATCCACATCAAAGTTAACATACATACTTTAATGGTTAACTGGCAGGATCAAAGTATTTATGAATTCAGTAATCAGTTAACGAAAAGTATTGTTTGTTACCAAGGCCAAAATGTCTTATTTGGTTACCTGTGGTATTTTAATCACTCATATAAATAATTAATAACCTTCTTTAATTGTTGGAATGTTAGGTTTCATGGAATATTAGGTAAGTCCCTTAACCTCTGTGCCTTGGTTCTTTGGAAACTGGGCATATGATTCTAATTGGTTTTTTGAGGTTCTTCCAACATTGATTCTACTATCTTTAGAGGATATGTTGGGAAATCTTTCTGCCCCAAAATGATATAATAATAATTATAAAGTAATTTATTAAACAGTAGATATAAATTTAATTTTATGAATAATTAGAGTATTATAAAATACACTAGAGGTCCGGTGCACAAAAATTTGTGCACTGGGGGGGGGGGGGGCCCCCACGCCGGCCCGGG